GTGATCTTTGAGAACCTTGAGGCAACTTTGAGAATTATCGTGAGCGAAACTGAGATTACCCTGAGCAAAACTGAGCCTTCGTTAAGAAGCAAATCTGTGCATTTCTAAGAATTCTATTTATGTCAACTGCGCTTGCAACGAAGTGAAAATGGGGAATAGTTTATACCAATACAGGCAAGTCGTTAGCAAGCATCGTGTTAGGAAAAGGATTCCTGGTAAAAAGATATCCAATATATCCCTGTTGTGAGAAGTCGCAGTCGGTTAATAAGCAAACAGGTAATTTAGTGTTAACAACTGTTGAAAACGTTAATTAGCCACCGTAAAGGGTAAAAAAGCTGACGTTTCGAGCGTTAGCCCTTCGTCAGAGCGATTAGAGGAATTGTGGGTTGTGTGTGGATTTATATGTAGAAAGTGGAGCTACGCCATTGGTGGGAATGTGGTGACGAGAAAACAAGAATAAATTAGTTGAATGAAAAGCGCTCGTTGATTCCGTGGGGATTAAGGGTGCCTATTTGGAATATACATTTTTGTTCTAGTGTTTTACGGCTTTCCGAACTGCCTAGATGTAAGGAAAGGCCGCAAACTGCCATATGCTGTTTAGAATGATAAGGAAGATTAAAGTGTCTAGCGACTGGTTTGGATGCGTCCTTGTCATTTCTTTCTACATCGCGAAGGTGTTCTCGGAATCGGTCACCAAGTCGTCTTCCTGTTTCGCCGATGTATAACTTATTGCAATAAGTGCAAGTTATGCAGTAAATAACATTGGCGGAGGTACACGTAAAGTGATCAATGATCTTAATGGATCTTTTGGGTCCCGATATTTTCTCTACGTTATGAATGAAAGGACAAGTTTTGCATCGTGAGCGAGCGCATTTGAAAGTTCCAGATTGGTCATAGGTTTGAAATGAACTCTGACTAAAAAGTTGCCTATGTTTTTGTCACGTTTGAATGAAATAAGTGGGGGTTGCGAAAAGATAGTGCCAGTCTCTGAATCGTTTTGGAGTAATTTAAAATTTTTAAGAATAATAGATTTAACTGCGTGGTTATGAGGGTGAAATGTAAGAGTAAATGGAATGCGGTCAGTGTTCTCCTTCTCGGCCGTTTGTAGTGCTGCCTGTCGATCGATTTGTTGGGCACGGTGGTAGCCCGCTTGAACGACAGAAACAGGATAGCCGCGTTTATCGAAAAACTGATACATTGCCTCTGATTTTTCGGAAAAATCAGAGTCGTCACTACATAAACGACGAAGTCTGAGAAACTGTGAAAAAGGTATGGAGTTCTTGACGTGTGATGGATGTGAGGATGAATACAACAAGTAACTATGTGAATCTGTAGTTTGTAGTAAACACTAGTACATAAGCCGTTGCCTTCAATTGAAATTTTGATGTCTAGAAAAGCCAAAGAAGTGTCGGAAATTTCCCAGGTATATTTAAGAGCCGGATGAAAGGAATTGACGGCGGTTATAAATTGAGTGAGCTCCTCCTTGGTAGAGGAGGTAGCGCCGATGCAATCGTCAATGTAGCGGCCAAAGAGTTGAGGTTTTGGGCCGTGGTATTGGCTAAAAAATTGATGTTCGATAAAACCTACAAAAAGATTGGCGTAGCTGGGTCCCATTTTAGTACCCATGGCCACGCCATTAGTTTGTTTGTAGTAGTTACCACCGAATGAAAAACAATTGAGTGTGAGGACTAGTTCGGCCAGACGGAGTAGTGTTTCAGAGCTAGGTTCCTTAACAGTGCGTAGATCAAAAAAATGTTTGAAGACCCGGAGACCTTCGTCATTGGGAATGACAGTGTAAAGAGATGTTATATCCATGGTGAAAATAAGTTTGTTTTGGTCGAGGAAACTAAAGTCACGAAAAATTTCAAGTGCGTGTTGGCTGTCCTTAATATAAGACGGTAGAGTTTTGACGATAGGTGCCATAACTTTGTCTAAATAGCTGGAAATAAGTTCAGTGGGACAACTGCAGGCAGAAACGATGGGTCGACCTGGGTTGTTAGGTTTGTGGATTTTAGGTAAAAAGTAAATACATGAAGTTCTAGGAGTAGTAATGATGAGATTTTTAGCAGTAGCCGGCAATTCTTGTTTAGCTATAAGATCGTTAATCGTATTTTTGACAATGTTTTGGTTAATTAAAGTGAGATCTTTGTCGACTTTGGCATAAAAGGAGGTGTCAGAAAGTTGCCGCAAAGCTTCTTTTTGATAGAGGTCGGCCCGCCAAACAACAACTGCGCCGCCTTTGTCGGCCGCCTTAATGACAATGTCTTTGCGTTTTTTTAGACTTTTTAGTGCTGACCACTCTTCCGAAGAAAGATTGGAAAATTTGGTGTTACGATTGAATTTAAGTTTGTTGATATCGTGGCGACATTTTTTGAGGAAAAAAAATCTAAAGATGAGAACTGGCCCTTGTTGAAGGCCTAAATGTAATAACTGTCCTAAATGTAATAAAGTCCTAAATGTAATAACATTTGGTCCTAAATGTAATAAGCCTCCAATGCAATCGTTTAACTCCTTCAGTGCATTGTTGTTACGGCGGACATCCACATTGAGATGTTGAAGTGACAGCTGTTGCACAAAAAAACCGCTGACCAGTATACATGTCACATTATGGGCTCGCTTATATCGATCAGCGTCTTTTTACTTGCTAGACATAAGTCGAGAAGCATTGGCCGCAAATGGCATCAAATGACAGCTGACAAAACAATGAGTATGCTGACCAAAACCTCTCCATATGTCACTAGCTCAGACTCTTAGGTACAATAAATTTTGGAAAATTAGGATAACATTATACTTGTGTGATCGGTGATGGACTTAACAAGTCATAAACCAAATTACAAACTTGGACAAATGAGTCCACTGACTTGTAGGTCGGACAATTTGCAGGCTCGGCTACAAATTTTTTGTCGTTCCGTGCCTGCACAGACCTTGTTAGCATGCACATTTTGTTTACCAATTCGGATCTTGTGACAGCACTCTAGAGGGTTGTTACTTTCAAATTCTCGAATATCTCCCTGAGTATATGAATATGGACAAAAAAATTTTTCTCCTCGATAGAACATAAGTGGGACAATTATGTTCTCTTGATCTTGAAAAGCCTGCAACAAATCCGACAAACGAATAAGGTATTGCATGTGTCTCCATCGAATCATATACTCAGTTACTTACATTTAACAGGTGTAAATGCAAAGAAGCTACTGACCAGTACATCATCACAAAACACCGGCTCAGATTGCCAATCACAAAACAGACACTTAACAAAAATCTGGTTCATGTCATGAATGAGCTCACTGACGCAAATTTTTTGAGCTCCAAAATTAAAAGGCACGGGAAAAGGTTCCTATGGAAGAGGTAGTACTGTAATTCGAAATAAGTAACAGGTGTTTTTAGCGCATACTTGTTGCTCGATTACGTTTTATATAAGGCCGGAAACAGTCACACGAGTCATTTATAATGAACATTAAAAATGGTTGTTTATGTTGAAGGCTGTAAATTATGTCCCGGTCCCCAAAAACTCACGCAAAAATTTGTTCCCTTGCTTTCTCTGAGATGTGAGTACAACTAATCGTGTGAGCCTTTTTCAGCAGTATACTAATTGATTTAAAGAATTTAAAAAAAAAAGAAAGAAAGAAAAAGGAAACAAGGTTTGCTCGACGCACTGATGTCTTTAACGATCAGACATTAGATAAAACAGCATGACCTGACTCTAAAACGGACTTTTCTTCTACTGAATCAGCACTATGAGAATAACATGCACGTAAAGCGCTTAACTTTCCAGTTTCAAAATAACTGGTAGTAACGCAAAGATTTGCCCAGCAACGTTGAATTGATTGGTTGAACTGAGTGTGGAAAAATTCTTGAGTGCGGATCCGACTGATAAACATTTCACGAGCCTGTGAAATATTCCGGCAGTTTTCTTTGAGATCTAGATCGAATGTGGAGCGCTAGTACTTGCATTGATTTAACATGAGATTTATTGTTTTAGTTGTTATGGTTTTAGCATTACTAGCATCATTGTGGGATAGGTCTGTAGCCCATAAAGATCTGTTTTAGCAGACGAAGTTCATGAAGCACTGTTCGACCTTGTTGAAGGCAAGGCGCAACCACCAGTGAAAGAACGGACGAGAGCAATGCGTGCAGCTGCTGTGCGATACTGGAGAGCCGGCGGAAAGATATCAGTGAAAGAAGACCATAGTGATAAGGCACTCTATTGCGAGGGCGTCGACTATTAAAATCATCAGAGGTTAACAAAGTAGTGGTTGAGGAATTTGAAAGGACGAAAGGATCTGGTGCGGGGAAGTTGGCTTGCTCACTGAGGGACAACTTTTTAGGAGTAAGCCGAGCTAAAATAAAAACTATTCTAAACACGGACAAAAGTCATTATTGCCGAAATGCTGAGTTTCTTAATAAGGCGAGGCTGAAACCTATCAGAGCTAGAGACGTTCATGTTAGGCACCAAATAGATTTGATGGATATGAGCAAAAAAGGATCCGTGAAGATGAATGGACATTTGAACAGATACGTTCTAACAGTGATTGATGTTTTCAGCCGTTTCCTTTGGCTTCGTCCTTTGGAAAGCAAATCAAGCCAGGTTATTGAGAGTGAATTGGAATCTATTTATATGGAACATGGATCGCCAGAAATAATACAGTGCGACCAAGGAGGGGAGTTCAAGAAAGCTTTGAAATTACTTTGCGATCGCATGAATATAAAATTGATTTACAGTCGCCCGCGCCATCCCCAATCACAAGGCAAGGTGGAATGTTGCCACAGGACACTAAGATCCAAGATGGAATATGACCTTCAAAAAAAGGGTCAAGACGGTGTAAACTAGGCGAAACAGCTCCCTCTTTATCAAAGAATTCTAAATAACGACCCTAAGGAATTTATAGCTTACAAAACACCATTCGAAATATACTTTGCACGAGAGTGCAACGCCTTTAGAGAGAGCAGATTACAAGACGAAATCCTTCCTAGTGCTGGGAGGGTTCGCCCAACTAACAATGACCGTAATCGCCGTTCCCGTTCTACGAAAGCAAGCAAAAAAAGCCACGAGCAGATGTGACAAGCGGATGCAGCGAACACAACTTCGCTTAAATCCGCCCTCGGTTTACAGCATCGGAGAAAAAGTGTATATACGTTTGAGAGGGAAACCATCGAATAAACGGCATGTGACGGAGGGTCGTATCGAGAAACGTAAGATCAAGTTGCATACCTATAAGGTTTCATACACCTCACCGCTTTCAGGAAAGGAAGAAAGGAAATGGGTCTCCGTGGACGATATCACAAGCCTAACACTAGAGCGAGAAAAACAGAAACAAAAATGCGCCAAGCTGTCTAAAAAGAAAAAAATTGACCACTACAAAAAGTATTACATACCTATGGGAAGAAACGATTATGCAAAGGCTATTGAAGATCAGGGTTTTAAATTGGTTTACAATCCTCCTGGAGATGGCAATTGCCAATTTGCTGCACTATCGCACCAGGCAAAGAGACTAGGCATTTTGAGATTTCCTGAAACCATGAGGAAAGAAATAGTAGAGTACTTAAAAAGTAATCCGTACGATAGCGATGGCTTCCTACTTTTGGAGCATTTGGCAGATGATGAGTTCGCTTGCTGGGACGATTATATAACTCTTATGGCGCGAGATGGGACCTATGGAGATCAGATTACGCTGTATGCAGCAGCAAACTTGTATAATATCGATATACAAATAGTTTCCTCTCTAGGAGTTGGTGGGCAGCATGTGTTCAGTCCGTCAGCAAGTGTTTCAGCAGCTACCGTGTACCTTGGACATCTTTCTGAGAACCAAGGCGAACACTACGTGAGCTTGGAACAAGTTGCGGATCACAACGACGCTAGTGAAAAAGAATACAATGCAAATGACTTAGGAGAAGGAGAAGTTCCCGAGGATTATGCGAATAAAATGCACATAGAGCAGGACGTCGTTGATTTTGAAATGGGTGACTCTGACGCAAAAACTGGACTTGACAGTATCGTCGCCATTGGTGACGACACGGACATTGCTACAGATATAGCTAAGGGACTTACTCATGGAAGCCGAACAAACGAGACGGAGTATGAATTGCAAAATGAAGTCGATAATGGTATAGCCAATGATGGTGATAAGCTGATGGAGGTTCAGTTTGTTTCAGATGTAGACATCGACTTATTTGCGACGAGAGGAGATGACGAATGTCACATTGGAAAACTTCCCAGTGAAGTTTTAGAAAAAATCTTAGAAATAGTGTTAGCGTCATCGGCCATCCTGTTTGTTGGTAATGCATGCCACACATACCAAACATTACGTAAAGTTAATAGACGATTAAGGGCGTCGGTGCAACGTCTGAAACAATTTCTACCGAGGCTTTATGCCTCTGGTGGATTGAAGTCTTGTTTAATCAGCGCTCGAAGCCTTCTAAAAAAGTGTGGTCCTTTAAGCGGTCTATTGATCGAGCTGAAGAAAATCATTTCTAGTCCAAAGTGGGCTAATGCTTGGCTGGAAGTTCAAGTGGATGAACTCGATTGGTACGTAATCATTGGAATTTTTTGGAAAAGAAATTGACTGCAATTGATGATTAACTAGCATGCTATTGTTGATGTTATCGTTCGTGTTAAAGTCGTTAGTAGTGATGCACTATTTTAGAGCAGTTTGAATGATTTCGATGACAATGATTTTTTGGACCGAGACTTCGTCTCAGTCCCTAAAAACGCAAAAAAAAATTCGGCCAATATCCAGCCATTTGACCTCATGCTTGGTCAATAAAGCATAGGAATATATTTCATGCAGACCCATACAAATCTGGCAAGGGAAGACAGTACAAAAAATGCACTTCCGAGCCCGGAATTTGTCAGACGTATTGGTCAGTGGACTACCTTTTCCTTGTAACGCGGTTCATAAGGTATTAACTTCAGCACTGATCACACAAATATATCGTCAAAACCTGTTTCACTTAAGAGTGAGCCAATGATATAAAGAAAGCTCTTGGTCAGCGTTCTCATTGTTTTTGCGTCTGTCAATTTGATGCCACAAGCACATCAGTATAAGGTTTTGTAGCCAATGCTTCTCAACCTACGTCTTTAGCATATAAAAAGACGCTGATTAACATCAGCGAGTCCGCAATATGCCATGAATATTGGTCAGAGGATTCTTTGGTGCAACAGCTGTCACTTTAACATCTCAATGTGGATGTCTGCTATAACAACAGTGCACTAGCGCAGTTAAACGATTGCATTGGAGGCTTATTACATTTAGGACCGAACGTTATTACATTCAGGACTTTATTACATTTAGGACCAAATGTTATTACATTTAGGACTTTATTACATTTAGGACAGTTATTACATTTAGGACTTCAACAGCCCTCTGGGGGAGTCCATTTAGACTTTCGAATCTGGAGTGTTTCGAAAGTATCTTTGTTCGAGGTGTTAGAATCATCCTCTTTGTCATGAAAAAAGGCTTTCAACTGAACGCGGCGAAGGAATTTTTCAACGTCTTGCTTAACTGAAAATCGTCGGTTTTTTGTGATATGGGAACAGAATTTAAGCCCTTGCCGAGAACTGATTTTTCTGAATCGGAAAGGAGGAGGAGGAGGAGTTGAGGCATATGTCACTGCAGAAGCAAATGTAGCAGCTTCCAGTAACCAGTCAGTAGATGTTGTGCGAGAAGCTAAGTTTACTGTGGAAGCAGCTAAAGATAAACAGTTCTTCTTTGATGACAACTCCGGTGCATTAGCTCTGCCATTCACATTTGCCTTCTTGCCGTTGAATGATGATGAGGTTGGTCTCTCTTCTTAGTCTGAATTTCAGAACTCCTATTCTACTCTTTAGATAATGCTGCTTGTTGTGGTAGTCTTATAGTAGTAGTAGTCTTTATTTATTCTTGAAACATAAAAAGTGGTAAAAATGTAAAAGATAAAACAATTATAAACTTGTAACACCATGTTGTGTTTAAAAAAATCGGATGATTGATGTTCATATCTTTTAAAGATGATTTGTTTCTGAAATTAAAATGTCATCATTTTCTTTTGAGATTAAATTTTAAAGAGGATGGAAATCAAATTTTGGCACTTAATTTAAAATGATTTTGTCCTGGTTTTATAGTAATGCATATGTGTAGTTCTAGTAGTCTTTGTTCAAATAAGCTGTGAACTCCAAGGTGGGTGTCCAAGACCAAGGTTATCTCAGGGACTAAATAGAACCAAGTTTTACATTGTCATTAGCCGATGAGAACTGAAAACTGCTCAAGCGCGGGAAAATGCGAATGACCAAGTCACGATTCTTTTAAGTTTTGCTTTTGATTGGTTGAGGGTGGCACGATTCTTCTGGACCCTGAATCACAGAGCAAAGTTAGAGAAGAGCAAAGTTAAGGAAAACCAAAGCAACCCCGAATTTCTTTGTTTTGTTTTGTTTTGTTTTGTTTTGTATTTCTCCGCGTGCCTTAACTTCAATTTCTGGCGTTTTTTTTTAGGATTTTAGGACGTCAAACGGGGGTTTGGAGCTGGGGTATGACTTAAGGGATGTGTGGGGCTTGCGCAAAGTATCTAGACATGTATTAGAGAAAAGACTGATTTTTTGTCTTGGAAAATGTACCCTAAATTTCTACCACGAGCATTTGCAATCATGGTTTTTGGTACAGTACTTGATTTTGTCTGCCCCATATCTCGCCTCCATGACACCTGCTGCTCCATAAGTCTTTCTTTTCTCATCACATATTTCACATTTATAATGTGTTGATATTATAAAAATGATATGAATTTTCATTTCATCAATTTTTTTTAAGGTTCAAGAGAATAGCGCTAGATATGTCGTCTAAAGAAGCTTCAGCGATTCTAGACTCTGTGCACAAGAAGACCAAAGTGTTTGGATGTAATCTACAAAATTATGTTAAAGTAAGTACATGCACCAAGTCATATCATGCAGTTCTTAACGACTCCTTGCGGAAAAATAACCGCACTTGTAATTGTTTCAAAGTTTTTGGGAAATTTTTGTGACATTTCCTTAGGTAGATATCGGGGATTGACTCTTTAGACCCTAAGGGCCGATTATTTCAACCAAACCGCATTTTAAGCCATCTTCAATTTAGCCGAACTTCTATCCGAATAATTAAATTTGTTAGCAGTGTTCAGAGGGCCGAAAGCTGATAGTGAAAGGACATTTTTGTAATTAAATCAGCCCTCTTATAGAGAATCCCTGAGGTGTACTGCTTGCGTAAAACCGCGGTTTGGGTTAGATCTCCTGTAAAAACCGGCTCTTAGTGACTTGCTTCTAATGTTTTCTTACAATATCATCCCTGAATCTAACATTAAGGTCACGAGAACTAAAGAAGTGATCGCCATCTTAAGAAGCTCTTGTTAGCCTGTTAAATTGATTGTTTCAAGTTTGCTTTATTTCTCAGGTTACAGGAAGAGAAATTCCAGAGGTTGTAGAAAGTTGTGTCAAGTTTATTAAAAAGTTTGGTGAGTACTTGAAATTCGGCCTTCCTGGTTAGTTAATTAAGTTTTATTGACTGATTTGATAATGTGAATTGGCCACCGTTGAGAGAGTCTCTTGGGAGTTTAAGAAACGACGACGGCGGCGATGCCTTAGACAACGTCGGTTAAAAAATGAACTTATATTTTACCAACGAATCTTGCGATACTCTAAAGTCATTTAGTTTCTTTCTCACTGTCAAAACTATCTCGAAACTGAATATGGAACACAGGTTTGTCATTTCACGTTGTTGTTTTGCAGAGGACGCAAAGAAATTTACAAAGATTTATAACGCACGTGCACCGCTATTGTTCTTCTCATTAAACTTTTTGTTTAGTGACGTTGTCGTTGCCGTCGTGGTTTTCTTAAAGTCCCTTTTAGCTGACGTCTTGAGCGGTAACCCTTCGTCAGAGAGAATGACGATTCTGGGGCCTCGAAGGATTTAAAAAATCCCTTATTTTAGTTTATGTCTGCTGCCCTGGGAAGTATGCTGTCATAACATAACAGTTTTAATTTATTTTATTGTGTTCGTAGGGCTGGACCATCAAGGAATATTTCGGTTATCGGGATCCACAACGGAAATAAACGACATGAAACAACTTTTTGAAAATGGTAACTGCCTTGAAAGTTAGGGAACGTTTTGTTTCTCTGTACATTTATCGCGTTGCGGCTGAAATTCGCGGGTTTTTTTTTTTTTAGGTCGTGATCCGTTAGCAGGTCTGAATCATTGGAAAGATATCAACGCCGTGGCTGGTTTACTCCGGGTTTATTTCAGGGAACTGGAAGATCCTCTGTTTCCTAGTTCACATTATCAAGAATTCATTAAGGCTAGCTGTAAGTATCTCGTTATATTGTTAAATGAGGGTAGTTCCTCTTTTCTAACGAAGACTGAGGCCCTCCTGGCTTATAACCGAGGATAGTGGGTGAGAGGGAAAGAGTGGATGCCATGGCTGAGGAAAGCAAGCGGTTTTAAAAATTGGAAAATTGTTGAGGTCTTATCAAAAGAGGGATCTTGTACAGCAACTGGTATTGACTTTTGCAATTCAGCGTGAAGAACGGGAAATTTCACAACTTTTTCAAGAGCGGGAAATATGAAACCCCTGCACATAGCAAGAAAAAATAGCGAGCTAAACCTTTGAAAGGGCGCGAATTACGCAATCTACGTCAAGGGGAAATTTTACGTTCAATGCCAAGTGCGGAATAATGTATAACTTGTACCCAGGGTGAAAAATTGTCCTACCTGCGTTAAGAGGAGAAATATGAAACCGCTGCGAACACTGGGTAATTATGCGATCAGTGCCCAAGGCGGGAGGGCCTGCAACCGGTGCGGAGGACAGCAAGTAGTTTTAGGCCCAGGCAAAGGGCGGGAAAACATGCAAGGTTACCTGCGGTGATTGTGCTCAGTCCACCCAGGTTTATCATCTCGAGGGTTTTTTTTATTGTGAAATTATATGTCTGGGAAAAAAAAAAAAAAAACCTGAATTTTGTACTTTAAAGTTGTGTTGGATCTTTGATTATGGTGCACTATCCTCTCTTTATCTGAAGTGTCAGCGTCAGTAGAAGATGGTATCAAAGAAATAATGACTGCACTCAGTTCGCTTCCTGAATCAGTGGTTCGAGTGATGGAGTATCTGTTTTCTTTCCTTAGCTTGTAAGTATTATAAGTCAATCTTTTTTAAATGTAATTTACCCAGAAAGAATGCTACTCTCCTGAAAACCGAACTTCCCTATTAAACAACGTGTCCCAAATTATTATAACTTTAGCCCAATGCAGATTGAAACTTAGTTCGCCACTGACGCAAAGTGAATGTTGCCTCTAAATCTCTTCGAAATACACAATCTTTCAAGGAATTACGGTCGTTTCGCTTACGTCTAGAGTCGATTCGCCTACGTCCAATATGTCAGTTCGCCTACGTCTTAAACCCCGTACTATGACAATTATTGTATAAAACAATTGATTCAATTGAAACAAAAATTGATGATGTTCGAAAACTATCGCATGAAAATTTGATATCACAACTAATGAACTCTAATGATTACCATGTTAATTGGGTTCATCTCACCGCGCTTTGACATGAGAGACAAATTGATTTGACCCTTTTTGCAACATTGGATAAATGCTATGATATATATCAATGTTGCAATTGTACCCTAATATTCAAATTACTGTAATTATCATGCTTTCCACGCTTTCGCACTGCTGTAGTGTTATTCATGCATATGAATCGTAGGCGAACCGACTCTGGACGAAGGCGAAACGACCCGTAGGCGAAACGAGCTGAATAGCTCTCAGTCAGTATAGCTTTTCAGACAGTCGGTCTCTGTCAACAACAGCAATTGTTCTTTTTAGAACTTTCTTGAAGACTACAACACAGCAATTTCAGATAAAATAACATCATAATTACATAACCCAATAGAATGTTCCAGGCAGTTCCATGGTATGACATCAGAAAGTTCGAGTATCCACATTGCCGTGACAAGGCATTCTAGAAGTTTTCAAAAACTGCTACTCTATAGCCACTTCCCATAACAAAGAATATGTTCGCAAAATTGAACCCCCAAAATTTAATGTTCTACGGTATGACGTCTCTCGGCAGAGTTGCACAGCACAGTGAATCTAACAAGATGGACGCCCACAATCTGGCGGTAGTGTTCGGCCCGACATTGTTACGTATCCCGTCCGAACAAGACATGATAGCTTATCAAAGTCAAGTGAATGGAATGATAGAATTACTTATTAAACATTGTGACGAGATATTCCCTGGCTCTGGAGAATCGCTACCAGCGCCATTATCTGAGACAGAAGAGAGTGAGAGCGAGGAAGGTAAGTGTTCAGAATGGAACGATTTTTAATGCCCTCTCAGAAGGAAGAGAGAGAGAATGAGGAGTGCGTCAAGTATTTAAAGCATTTAAAACATTGCTTTTAAAAGATATCTTTTTAGATTAAATAGAGTGTTGAAACATTCTTAGAGTCAACACGTCCATTTTAGCTAAAAATTGCAACCACCTATCTTACTTCCGGTTCTTTTGAACCTCACTTGCACATAACGAACTCTGCAACTCGCCTACACGTTAATATAAAACGCGATTTAACAGGGAGCTGAGCGCTCGCATTACTCGTGCGTTTCATGCCAGTTCGTCGTCTTTTTTCTTACAGTCATGGTTACTTTTTTTTCCTTTTTTTTTTCCTGCAGATCTGGAGCCAAGGGAAGCCGAAGCGATATATGATTACTCAGCTCGATCCTCCAAGGAATTGTCCTTTAAAAAAGGCGACATTATTCAGGTGTTCAAAAGATTTAACCCGGAATGGTGGGACGGGACAATCAATGGAACTGAAGGCTTTGTGCCAGCCAGGTACATTCGTATGCTGACAGACGACGATGTCGATGCAAATGATGGCGAAGGGAATATCTCGATCTCCGGCGAGCTGTCGCTGTCGCCATCACCCAAGATTTCATCCAGTGGAATAGACAGGCCTAGGGATCTGCCTCCAAGGATCCCCAAGAGAGAGGGCTCGCTACGAGGAAGGGACAGTTTACCCTCTCCCACAGCGGATCATGCAAGCCACGCAGCAGCAAGTCCCATCGGAGCAAGTCCGATAGGAGTGAGCTCTCAGGGGCCATCTCCAGGATCATCGTCGTTTAAGAAGACCTCCGTGCCAGCAATCTCATCGGAAGATATCGTAAAGCGGCAGCTGACGCGGCTTCGTAAGGCGCCCAGAGAAGAGAGCGACAACTCTGTGGATAAGACACCTGATAAGGAACAAGGATTCGTGATACCAAGGCTTCGGAGCATCTCGCCTACCAGAAAATCCCAGTCACCTAGCCAGGAGAAGGCGGAAGAAGCCGAAAAGAAGGAAGAACCAACGGATAAAGACTGGAGAGGGGGAGGTGAAGCTTCCAAAGAGGAAAACCGGAAGTCCGTAGAAGGTGTGTGGCAGCCACGAGAGGAAGTTAACATTCCAGCGAATAACACTCCCCAGGGCATTTCTCCGACAACAACGGCACCGGCACCAGCACCGGCACCGAAAATTCCCCCAGCGGTTCGCCCTAAACCCAAGGGAAACCGCAACCCTCAGCCCCCTTTCCGTAAAAACTCCGATGATCTGTTAGCTTCGCTGCAGGCTGCTCAAGTCGTGCGGAGTCATCGGACTAGTGGCGGTCCTGACGACAACAGGAAGAGCGGAGGGTCTGTGGGGACGACACTGCTTTTTTTGAGGTCTCTAGGGGGGTGATAAGGGGGGGTTAAGGGAAGTAAGGGAGGGTGGTTGGAAAAGGTCTGGTGGGAGGAAGACTCTTTTCTTGAAAAAATTATGATCCTATGGAAACAAAGCGTATGATCTGCATGCCCCGCAGTGGGGAAGTTTTGGTAGAAATGCCAATTTTTCGAGATTGTTAGACTAAGATTGATCAAAACGTGTTATCAATCGGGAAGAGGTGGGTGAGCTGTGGGGTCAAATTTATTCGTGAGGGTGGGTAAGGATTGCACTAGAAGGGCTTGGGTGGGATGGGTTAGGTTAGGTTAGGTTTGTTTCGAGGGAATTCTTTTATAAAATCTTGCCAATCAGTTTGTTAAGAGTCGGGAAGGACTTTGAATCAAAGACAAATACTTTTCCAAAAAAATAAGAACCAAAAGTTGAATTGTAATGGTGATGTAAATATGTATTTTTAGGAGACAAAGAAGTCGTCGCTAACACAGAAATGATAATGATAATTGTTTAAAGTATTGATTTGATACGTGAACTTTTATCTTATTTATGATTTTGTTTTTGTTTCTTTTTAATGCGCAAGTGAACAAAAACTTGTCATTCCTCGTTCCCATTGATTACAGTAATTGTAGGAATAGGAATCCAGCTGAAAAGTGGGTCTTTGGTTTTTATCGGGACGAAATCATTTTAAGCCCCCAGATTCTTCTTTTGTAAAGTTCGTCTGATCGGTTTCTTTGTTCAATGTTTGGTGCAGATTGTAGCGCTTGTTAAGTGATCTCTCTTTATCATACTTGTAAGGGTTAGTTTGTCCCGCGCTTGATTTTATCTTTGAAAATGTCAAAGATTTGAGTATTGAGCTTGACATCATTGAGTAATTTCAATTGAGTGTTGAAAGTTTTGCGGGATTGCCTTTGTTTTGCTTTGCTTCGGTTTGTGATTGGTCTAGAAAAATCGCGCCATGCTCTTAACCGATCAGATGCCAAACGAAAGCCAACATTACTTGGTCGCCCACGTTTTCCCGCGCTTTTGGAAGTGTGCTTGTTTTAATTTGAATCCTAATTGGCTAATGATGACGCAAACCTTTGTTTTGATTGGCGGTTGTGATTATCTTGGTCTTGGCTTTAAGACAGTCAATTGAAAACTATTCTATTACTCGATAATTATCTGAATTATCAGCAACAAGAATAATTCACACTTTTTCGTTAAAAACTCACTGCATGCTTATTAATGCTTAATCTGTTTTCGATTCACCCAAAGGGTCCCTAGGTTTCAGCCAACAACCATCTTCCTTAGAATAGAAACTGTTTTCTTTTTTTTTATTAAGGACGCGGACGTGTTCCCCATACTTGTGGTAATGCTTCTGTTCATCACAGCCACGTTTATTCCGTTGAAATATTACCTATATTTTCGTTCTTAGGATCATGCAGTTTGCAGTGATGAGCAGATTTGATTATTTCCTATGTAGTTAGCAAGAAGCCATTTTAGTCATTGACAAATGGTATTGAATAATGTATTCTAGAAATTGAAAGAAAAAGAAACACTGGAGAAATATTTTGGTGAATGTAAGAATATTAGATAAGTTATGAAACAATGAAGTAATAAAAAACACAACGGTCTTTTTTTAAGTGTTGTGGTTTTCTTAGATAATTTCCCAGGATAAGCGCGAAGACGTAGGGCCTGTTAAATGATATTTATATCACTGATAATTATTATTAAGATCACTATTGTTACAAATTTAAGAGATCCTCGCAGCTAAGAACACTACTAAACTAGTAGTTGAAAATAGGACCTGGAAAACATTCAGGTCCGTACGAGATTTGAAGCCATGACCTCTGCGATACCGGTGCAGCGCACTACCAACTGAGCTAACAAGCCAACTGGGAGCTGGTCAATAGGTTGGGTCCAGATAAACTATCCAAGAGATGAATAATGATTTTAGATATTTGAAATTCATATATTTGCGCTGCGGTGAAGAAACGAATTTAAGAGATCGTCGCAGCTAAGAACACTACTGAACTAATAGTTGAAAATAGGACCTAGAAAAAATTCAGGCCTTATCGGGATTTGAACCCATGACCTCTGCGATACCGGTTCAGCGCTCTACCAACTGAGCTATTAAGCCAACTGGGAGCTGGTCAATATGTTGGGTCCAGATGAACCATCCAAGTGGTGAAAAATGAGCTGCGAGGATCTCTTACATTCGTTTCTTCACCGCAGTGCAAATATATGAATTTCATATATCTAAAATCGTAAACATTATTAGTATTATCATTCTTATTATCGAGCATTCTACAAACTTTAAGAATGACACGTTTTCGATAGATCTAGATGGTTTTAAGTGACAGTGCATCCAGCATCTACAGAACTGTCAAATAAACAAAACAAAACAGACTTGTTTGAAAGTTGAACTCCTTACTCCTTTACGCCTTTACATCAGTATGGATATTCTCCATACCATCTTCTTTATTTTTCCTGAGCTACTGACGAGGAGAATTTGTTTAACAATTTAGAACTGCGTTAAGTTGATGACTATTTCCCATTTTCTCGTGACCTCAATCACTGACTCATGGGGGATACAGTAGGGAAAAATTAGATACTCGTCACTCCTTGAGGACGAGCATGTAATTCGAGGGCAAGTTACAGTAAGCGTTTCATACCGATAATTAGGAGGTTGACTAAATCAGCGAAGTTGCCAATCTTACCATAGTTGTCTAAGCCCAAGCAGTTAATTGTTTTGGTTGAGTTAGAGTCTTAGACTGAAAGCTTTGATTGACAGAATAACCAATGCGGAACTCTGGACATTGAAACTTAAGAATTTCGAGTGCTATGCGATTACTGACTGATGTACTCCCACTGACTCTGAAACGAGGTAGGGTTTGTTATTTACGGAAACGTAAGATGGGTCCGCAACCAGACAGTCACAAAATGTGTCTGCTTCGTTGAATAGAAAGATCAAATTTCCTTCCCCATGCGTGGAAAGAAAAAAAATGTTTTTTTGTAAACATTGAACAACTTTTGCACAGTTTTCATCGGGATTAACCGCTTCAACTCACTGTTCGAATGTGTACTAAAAGTAATGCAAATGGTATTAGTTCTAACGGCAGTACCTCAAGATTTCGGCAAAATCTCTAAACATCCCTCTGAATAATGGTGCTCGAATAGGACTGGGCGCGACCCATCATGATCTCAATTGGGCACAAACCTCTTGGGGGAGTACCCTTTTACGGTATATAAATGAAAACTAGGTCTGCCGTTTAGTGGCACATTTATCATCACATCACGCAAAGCTCCGTCGTTTGTGTAACCTGGGTAGGTTCATTTGAGTTTACACCGTGACACCCGATAAGTTCTAACTCGCGGACCAGGTAGGTACCCTAAAATCTTGCTTGAATGAAGATAAAATCCTTGCATAGAGCTAAAATTGGAAAACCTCGAGCCTGGAAGGGCTCCAAACTTGTGCATCCCAAATACTAGGTAAGCGCCACTAACAATTGAGCTACAAAGCCAAACAATTCTAGCGAGGCAAATTTTTGGTAGGTTCTTCGTTTCTGTAAAAGAATCTGATCGCAGGTAAACGAATAAATCATATTTTGACGAGCGGATGCTAAACAAATCATAGCTGATCATGAACGCTTCATTTGTTTATAATTGATAAGACAAAATATAACTAATGCCTCACTTATTCAGTTAGTCATTCTATTGCGACAAGATGCTTGTGTTGGACACTGAATGGAGCGAAAAGAAAACATCAACGAGGGGAAGTGATATAACTTCTGCTGATACCCGGTTCAAGAGAGCTGCAAAACCCCTCCCCCCCCCCCAAAAAAAAAGAAAATCTATTTTCTCGGTTTTTCTCGCTGCAGGGAGCTTTTTCGTTTTAGTGTCGTAAAACCAAACCAAAGTAATCAAAGTGGCCAATCAGAAGCATGGGAAAATCACAATGAGCCAATGAGAAACCGAAGAAAAACGGTGGGAAACGAGAGAAATCATGAGTTGCCGAGTCATGATTGGTTGCAGGTACGCTTCTGATTGGCTGATAGGGTGGCGGGAGTTTGCAGGGCCAATCAAAGAACGAAGTTCCAAACCAACTCTGCAGTCCCGAATCCTCTCGACACTCACTCGCTTTTCTTCAAGTAGGATAAGCTATCTGCCGTTGCCATAAAGAACTGAAAGTTTGTGAGTTAACTTTTAACAATTTATTTCATAAATTGGTTGTATATGGTGCGCGTGGAAAACACACTTGAGAACTACGCCTATTATGTACAAAAAAACTACGAGTGAAAAATGTTAACAAAATTTTTTCAGAATCAAGATTATGTTTATAGTCTCTGGATCAGAATATACTTTTGCACAAGATAAACGATCAGCGCTTTAGCTGGAAAACAACAGAGTTTTCACAACGTCCTTGTTTGAAATATTCCGTGTGGATACAACTCAGTGAAAAACCTAACAGTTCAGGCCTTTGCCACTTTGTCTTCAATCAAAAAAAATCTATAAATGTATAATTAATACTAAGTACGTTCGTGGGAACTCTCAGAATTATAGCAACCACGCAGTGGCAGCATTAAATGGCCCTAAAAATATTGTATTTGTAAAATTCTAGATTTGTTTTAATCATCACCAGTAAGACTATACTAAATGGCCTTAAACCCAGTCAATAGGTAGTTTATTTCGGTGTGTGTCTGTTCACGTATAGATCACAGATGACCGTAACGAAAGTTTTGTTTGTTAATCGAGTTCTCATTCAACAAAAACACATTTCACATTTTCGGCGTTGATTTAAACGGGTCATTGACAGTTAAACCTCGTGATTGGTTGGCGTTGAATGAGAGTTAAATGACTATAAATAGGTTTCAAGTTCATAAAACGAATTCGATACAACAACGAGAGTGTATCTTTGACATCAGAATGAGGTGAGAACAACACAGTAGCAATCACTGGCCTCGAGAAGTTCTTTCTTGTTACAAACTGTTATAAAATAAGTGCATACCTGGGGATCAAAAGGTGTGCCGTAAAGTGAATTGAAACGTAACATAGCAATAGTCACAAAGTCCGAAAAGTGGGGGTTGATTTTCATTGTGACGAGGACCCTCCTGATTTAAGCTGTTCGGAAACTTCGTAGGCCCAATTTCCCCAACTTTCCACGAGATATGTTAGTTCATAGAGTTTTTCTCTAACTTGTGTGACACAGTCATTGAATAATCGCACTTCATGACTACTCTGACCTTTTTTCCACTCTTCGTAAGCCGTATAGTCTACGAGCAAGCCAAGATCCCTTTCAGAAGAAGTTGGGTAATTGATCTCGTCAATTTTTTCGGTCAGTTTCTTTTTCTTTTTATCATCTAGAATCGCGTTCTTGTTCCCCTGACGCTTTTCAAAAACAATATGCGTCATTTTTACCGCACTCTTTATCAGTCGATCTTTGGCTGCCAAAAACTCGCATGAGTAAGTTACACTCAGTGGTTCGGGCGCCATCATAAACTTTTCGTTAATCGACAAGCCATAAAATTCAAGCGTTTCGGTATGCACCGAGTATTTAGAATTAATTTTCTTGACTTCCTTCATCTTCAAAAGAACTTCCAAATGCTTTCCAGCGAGACAGTCTTGCTCTTTCTCGACAATTTTTTCTAGTATCTCTCGATAAATACTTTCGTAGATTAGAGAGTGAACTTTTTCTCTTTCTTCTTTTGGTGCCTCTCTCTGTTCACATTTCTTAGGCAGCTTTTTGACCCCTTTAAACATTTCCAAAAAATTACCAGGTGTAATATCATCTTCTCTTGTTCTGGTGGCCGCTCTTTGTGACATTTCCTCTGCTTTCTTCTTATCTTCCTCTTCTTTCTTCTTATCTTCCTCTTCTTTCTTCTTATCTTCCTCTTCTTTCCTCTTATCTTCCTCTGCTTTCTTCTTATCTTCCTCTTCTTTCTTCTTATCTTCCTCTTCTTTTTCTCCTTTTTCTCTTTCTTCTTTTGGTGCCTCTCTCTGTTCACATTTCTTAGGCAGCTTTTTGACCCCTTTAAACATTTCCAAAAAATTACCAGGTGTAATATCATCTTCTCTTGTTCTGGTGGCCGCTCTTTGTGACATTTCCTCTGCTTTCTTCTTATCTTCCTCTTCTTTCTTCTTATCTTCCTCTTCTTTCTTCTTATCTTCCTCTTCTTTCTTCTTATCTTCCTCTTCTTTCTTCTTATCTTCCTCTTCTTTCTTCTTATCTTCCTCTGCTTTCTTCTTATCTTCCTCTGCTTTCTTCTTATCTTCCTCTGCTTTCTTCCTATCTTCCTCTGCTTTCTTCTTACCTTCCTCACTCATATGCTTTATTACATCTTTCTGAACCTCCTCCGCATCTTCACCTCGAAAAGCAGCGGTGACTATCTCATAAGCTATGTGCACTGCGGCGTCAATTGCTTCTTCTCTTTCTTCAGGGTCAAAGACATCCAAATGTTTAAAAACAGTGTCTATGGCATATCTCACTTCATTCTTGATTGGAATTTGGCGGTCAAACAGCTTCTCTAATTCCTCCCAGAATCCTTCCTGTTCTTGTTCAGCGATAGTAGCCATGAGGTTGCGAAGCTTTTCAGGGAGTGCGACTTTGAAACAATTGAACCTGTTAGAAATTGGGGTAACACATGAAAGGCAAATATTTGACAAATGACGTACAGACTATTTATCAGGATTCTTATTTCCCCCACCTCCACCTCACGGTTTGTCGCTCATATAGGTGACTGTTGCGAAACAAACACTAGGAAGTCTTAAAATAATAAGTTATCTTGAAACATAATTGTGTAGGCAGTGACTAGGTTATAGCGGAGGTTAACACAAATAAGGTTGCACACAACTGAACTGACAATCAAAGAAGGGTAGCAAGCGAATATAAACAGTTTATGTTTTCTGGAGAATTAGTTTTTCGTCTGGGTTTTACTATTTTTACCTATTCTTTTTCCCAAGTCTGAAACGAAGCCGAAGTGAATCATGAATTTCATGAAGAATGTTAGGACTGTTTAATTTAGTTGTTCTGTTTTTTCTTGCTAGAACACAATGCATCTGTCATTGTTAGTCCGCCACATAAGCCTAAGTTAAGGGCGGATGGGTATAAACCAAGGTGAAATAAGAAAAGAGCAAAACTGAAAATAATGACTGTATATTACATACCATTCTTTCAATAAGTTATGGAGGGGTTTTGTTCTTTTTTTGAATGGTATAATAGTGTTGCAAAGCACGGATTGGTCAGGCCAGATTAGAGGTTACGGAGAGACATAAAAAGAAGCATGTATTTCGGCAAAAACAGCAATTATATTTGCATTCCTGCGACACAACATATCACATTCTATTATTTTACTAAAAGCCAGGGTAAAGAGGTTATTTACTATCAAAGAAAGTTAAAGCCTTGCAAGATTGAACATGGTAGAGCAACATAACGACCACCATTAAATCATTTAACCTGCAATTTCAGGACGCGAAAAATGCAATAAATATTTACTCATATTCTCATAAGCAGCAATACTGGAAAATGTGTCTTAATATTTCGAGTTAGGCAACTAAATTTTTAATGAGGTTATTGTCTAACTCTGCCTCTTTTACGATATGAGAGATCCATTGTGCCCAATGAATCACAAGTTTAAAATTACCTGCTATGTTTCTTAAAAAATCCTCAACTGATTTTTTACAATCTCGGAAGTCCTTTTTTGAATTTTTGTTCCTAGTCCACAATGGCAAAATGTCAGAGTCTACGTACACACCATACGTGTTCTTTTCAATTAAGATGTTAGTAATTATAGTATTCAGGTCTGTTAATTTGTCATTAAAATTCTCAGGCTTCTTTTTTCTGAGTGTGAGGCTTATATGGATATCTAGCATTACACAATGAACACAAGCTAACAATACTACTTTGGCGCAACCAAACTCCTGAGCGTTCTTGTCATGGTTGTCCTCCTTCGCCTTTTTCACAATCATTGTGTTAATTTTTTCCTTAATATTAGTCAATGGATAGGTCGGCCGCAAAACGTTGATTAGGGTATCGATATTTTTATCTTTTTCTACCCCAAGCTTCCTTAAAAGGGTCTCAAATATATCTTTGTTAAGAGAAATGACTCCTTTGTTGATAACATGATGGCCTCTCGTAGGGTTATTTCCTGTTTTGCCATTCTTCAATGAAAGACTTATTTTCTTTTCGGCTTCTCCTAAAGTTTTAGGATAATAGCGCTTTAAAATTTTGAGCTGTTTCTTCAAATCGCCTTCTGCTTCTTCCTTGTCAGTCATCGTTTGATTTTGGCCTTTGCTTACTCTCTCCTCTCCTCTAGGGCCACTTCCTTTCACCTAAGAACGAGAGAGTGGTTATTTTGTCTCCGTTTGGATCACAGAAAGTAATACAGGTTTCCACAAGTATGAATTATGAAACGAAGGTGGAATTTTAAATGCACTCAGCAAAGCCACCAGAACTGAACAACTTGGCGAGTCGTGTCAAGTGTCAGATTAAGGAGCAATTTCTTTGCCTATCCTTACTTGCTTTATTTTATGGCTTTTTTGTGATTTCAGAAGAGACTGTGCATGCGATCCGTGGAAAGTCGCACCGATGAGGAAAGATGCATTTTACTCGATAGACGGGAAAGCTTGAAAAAGAATGTGGCTCAAAATATAACCTTTAAACGCGCTCAAGACTTTTTTACACTCCCAAAAAAGGAAAGGAAACGCAATTGCAATCGGCTTTACAAAAAAATTCTCTCTAGCTACGAAAAATTTGATCAAAGTATGTAGGGAAGCAATCAACTTTCATTCTCGACGCCGGATACATCAATTTTACATAAGAGTTGATGTAATGTTGAGTAGTTTAGTGCTAATTGATTGAGCTAATATAGTCTGTGGTTTTAAGTAGTTACCTGTTTTATTTAAGTCTGGAAAAGTTTGATGTAGTCATGTACAGTTAGTTTAAGTGATATACGTTCTTAGTGGAGTCAAGCGTAGCTGGTGGGTCGGGTGTAATTTGCATACCTTGGTGTGGCTAAATTCATTATTTTATCAATAGGATGATCGCACGAAACATCTTGCAATTCAGACTTTATAGCCCTTGCAACAGAAAAAAAATAGACCTAGTACAGTTCAAGAACTTGAATGTGACTTCAATTGTAGATACTCAGTTTTTACACTTTCTCGTACTCCTTAAAAACTATGATGGGCGGAGGTTAAAACACAAAGTAGAATTTCTTTGTAAAAATGTATTGCAGCCATTTAGCATACATAGAATTAATATTGAATTTTTAGCTGGAGTTTTCGCTTTCGTTTCACTTTTCAGTTCAGTTCCTTCGCCTTGTGATATCAGTAACAGATATGTGTGCTATCGAAGCACATAATCTGAAATTTTCCGTAATATTATTACTACCACTCATGAGTTTTTTGGGTAGAATTGTGTTTCGTTTCCACGACTACATTACAATGGAACACACACTGACTTTCGAAATCACACTTACTTGAAGGAGTGAGACCTAGGTCTGAAATAATGTAGCTCAAATACACTGTTTTCATTATCACGTATGATAGTCTTTTTGTATTGCTGAGCGATGCAATATGCTTACCTTTAATACAACACAAACTAAAATTTCTGTCTAGAAAGTATTGCAGCCGTTTAGAACATATAGAATTGATGTTGAATTTTTTAGCTAGAGACTTCGCTTTCGTTTAACTTTTCAGTTCAGTTCCTTCGCCATGTTATACCAATAAGCAATATCTGACATGTTTCTTTATGTTATTACTCCCACTCATGAGTTCTTTGAGCAGAATTGTGTTTTATTTCCACGCCTACATTACCATGGAACACACATTGACTTTTGAAATCACATTTCCTTGAAAGACTGAGATATTTTATCGCATGTTATAAGCACTGCTTTTTTGCATACTTGCTTGATTTACCGACTATCGTTTAAGACCGATCATGATCGAATATTGACGAAGTCAATTGCAAAATCTATTGTATCTAAAGAAACATTGTGTGATATTTGGTTAACAATTAATCTTCGTGGGAAAAAAAAAAAAAATGCTGCGCTTATCTTCACTGCCAGCCAACCTAAATGAAAACGATTATTTTCCCAGCAAGCAACTTTAAATAGAATCAAAATCCCACGCAGGAAAATAAAAGAGTCATTTTTTTTAATTAGCAAATTTCGAATTGCTCTCAATTACCAGATAGCAAGACATTATAACGGTTTAAGTCTCAGAAAAGTGTTATCTTTCTCTTGTCATTTATTGCGAGTGGTGTCACATCTATAGTTTGCTCGCCTACTTGTTCCTTGCATTTTGCTGTATTTTTAAACATTTCCTAGACTTCATATTTGCAACGATTGAATTTGGAATCTTCTCTGTTTTTTTTTTCCGCTCTCCACCATTCCAAGGCCTGACTGTCTACGTACGCACATTTCGTAGGCGGTGGAAAAAAACAGTCAGTAATTGTATTCTCCAATTGCAGCAAATGAGTTTCGACGCGTAGAACAAGGCTGTTCACGTCCTTTTCATCAAGTAAGCCATATATCTCAAGCATTAGTTTATTAACACAACGTGTTAGTATCCATTTGGCTCTACTAAAAACGTCATCGTTATAAATGCCGATCATTTGCACGCACCTTCGTTCCTTCTATGAACTTCCCTGATTCCGGGGATAAAGGATTGTTCACAGAGAGAAATTCCGAAGGTTCCTTTTTTCCGTCGTCGATGATCATTTCTTCTCCTTAAGATCTCGTACCTTTTTCCTTTCAAAATATCGTCCTTGTGGTCGAGGACGAACTGTCGGTAGACTTTATTATATATTTCATGGTTAATCACACAAAAAAATCGTACAAAATGTACGCTTCCATCGAAAAAAACACACAACCTATATTAATGTATATGGAATAAGGCAAAAAAATAAATAAATAAATAAATCGATTAAAACACCACAAGATGCCAAATAGATTCAATTATATCCTTTACCTAATCAAAGAATACCTATGGCCAACTCGTGTATAGAGTAATTAATTCATAGATGAAAAAAAAAATGATTGTGGACTTGTAATTATTGGTTTTGCAGCAATGCAAGCTTGCTCTTATTTCAAAAGCAAAGGTTAAGGAAAATCACGGAGAGATCCAAAATTATGGTAAACATCCAACTCCGCAGAATAATCAACGAACATACAGCTTAAGAAAACAGCATAAAACAGCATGCTGTGTTTATCGAATTTCCGTTTTCAGAATTGGTCAAATTTAGTCGCTGGAAACCAGATCTTCCTTCATCTGCACAAGCCGAATTCCACTCTTTTTCAATTCTATGTCACGTTTTGTCTCATTGTAGGTCAATATACATTTGCATTGTAAACCAATGATCTTTATTTACAGGGTTTTCTCCAGCTTGTATCTAATAAGTTTTCTGCCTCGGAATGAAATACCTCAGAACGTACTTAATGTGACCGCTAGTTTTTTGACTAAGTAAAATTAAAGTTATGCGGAAATGAAGTCATCAGGTCTTCTTTTGTTAGAAAAGCACAGGATTATTTTCGTCCGCCTCTGATCAGTCCAGCCGCCAATATTTACATAAGATAAAAATCGATAAAGATTTTACGTATTGCTCCAGGCTAGCTTTCCAATTTGTCCTTGCAGTAAAAAACATACCCAAGCCGGATTTTTATCGTGTCGTGCCACAGGCATCCCACGTAAAAATAAAGGGGGTTGAAATGAAAATTGCCGCTCAGCAGAATTGAACTAAAGGTCTGTTACTGTAATAGTTACCCGCAAGGTATGTTCTTACCGGGAGTCTTCTGAGACTCTACAGGATGATTCTGTGTTTCTGTCAGAGTGTCGAGGCCAAAAAAAATTTAACTGCGAAGGGTAAGGAATGGCCGGCTATGACTGCACCTGTAACTACCACAATATTCCCACAAATGCGGATTTGTGTTTTCTTATATATGCTAAAGATCGTAAGCTTCAGTAGTTAAGTATCCTTCATATTTCTTCAACTACTAGTCACACGAACCTGGGTTTTATCTGCATGATTAAATGGTCAGAAAAATAATTTCGTCTTGTATCGATTTTTTTAATGTTGTGATTGTTTTTCAGTTTCTTTTAAAACAGATATTAATTTTAGGATTAGAAAAAAAAAATAAAAAATACTTAAGAGTAACATCTAGTTCCAAATTGTGTTCTAAACATCTCGAAGACTATGATGATTGAAAGATGGCGCCTGTCTTTCTTTGTTTCTATGGCCAGTCAGAGGCTATTTCTAAAAGGAATTATGTTTCGTTTCCGGCACGATAATATTACGCATGGCTGTCACAGTTCAGGAAAATTCAGGGAAAAATGGATTGCTTCAAGGTCTGAGAATTTCACTTTGAGTCAGAGAAAATTTACCTCTTTGAAAGATGTCAGGGAGAGTCAGTGACGGATCTAGGGAAGGGACTCGGGGTGCCCGCCTTCTTCCTCCCCCCTCTTTTTTTTTGGGTAAAAAAAAAAAAAAGATTTGCAGAAGGAAGAAAAGCCGGCAGGGCAAGGGACGAAAAAACACCCTCCCCCCAAGTGAAAGTGGTGACACTTTCCTTTTTGATGTCGATTATGTACATAGTGGACAGATTCCTGACCACTATATCCTTTCGCTTTGTAATGCAAGTTGAGGTTGTTTGTGAATGAAAACATACATTCTCCTTTTCTTGTGTAAATTTCACAGACGTGAAAGATATTGGATTGGTAAAATAAGCTGATGTTGGGTTTTCAAGAAAATCAATCCTTTTTCCATGTTACCTTGAGAAATTATCAATTCATGTCCTCTGTATATGAGGTGGAGGTTTGAGGTCACTATCGGGACTCGCTCGTGAAACTTGACTCATTAGTCAGAGAAATTTGTTTTCGTCAGGGAAAGTCAGGGAATGTCAAAAACCTCTGACTGAGGCAACTATTTTGGTAGGGGGTGTTCTGGTGTCAACTCGTATACCGCTATTTTTCTTTCCGTGTATCTCCTTGAATATGTTAAGAAGCCCAGCGTAAATTGAGCGTTAGACATGAGATTTATAATTCTTCTCGGGATCTTTTAGCAGTTCCTCACCGACGCATAATAATTTGGATTGTATCAGTTGTCTCGATTTCTTAAATTTTCCGAAAAAATTTGCAACTGCCGGTCATCTTAAGTGTCAGCATCCACGGCTCCGTTTTCTGAAAAAGCTTAAACCAAACGCTTGACACGAGACTTCTATACCTGAGATCATTTGCAGTTCCTCATCGACATATAATAGTTTTGATTGCATAAGATTTCTCGATTTGTCAAATTTTCTGAAAACATCCAACTGTCAGTCATTTAGTTGTTTTAAAACTTTGGCAGGCCGCTGATCATTTAACCAGAGCCTACAATTAACGCGAAACAAAAAGACTTAAAAGCTTTCGACAAAATATAGTTTCAAACTAACCGTACTATCACAAAATCACTATAAAAGTTCTTTTAGTGATACATTTGCTTCAATTCTGTGCCCTTTTCTTGTATTTTTTTGCGCTCTATGAAGATCGTGCGCTCAAAAGTTTGTTTTTTTCCAGCACGAGGTGTTTCACATATTTTGTCACTTCACTGCTCCCATAAGTTGTTAAGCTTTATGCTTCGCTTGCAAGCCTTTAAGAACTAGCTTCTAAAAACAACAATAATATCTGAGGTTGTGTTTTATGCTAGCCCACAAATTCAACGCCATGCAGCAAACAAGCGATGAAAATTTTATGCTTTCCCTATGGGATTTACTTTTCCCTTTCATTTTTGATTTGTGTCATTTCACTAAGAAGTATAGTGAAATTAGTCAGCTGTAATTAAGTCTGAACTCAAAAGTTTATCCCAAATACACTGTCTTGACTTTCATCTACATTCATGTCGCTGAGCAATACAAATATGCTTACCTTTGATGGGTGTGAGTTTATCCTGGAATCACAGTTAGACTGATTCGACGCTCTCGAATTGCTGAGCTGCAAGTGATGATTCCTTGAAAGTTTGTTCTGTTTACAAAAGTATTCAAGGCCGTCGAGACGCTGAAAAATAAAACATTTCATTGTTTCCTTTAGCGACAGAGAGGTTAATAAGCAGTTATTCGAGTAAGTTTACATTACAAACCATTGTTGTATTTAGTTATATTCAATGTCGTCGCTGTATTTTGGCGATTAAGGTGTGGTTGACTTATTTATTGTAGACTAATGTGGTCAATGTACATGTAGGCCGTAAGTTTGATACAGTCGGTGTAGTTTATGCAATTCCGGGTGTGAATTCGTTTGGTGGGTGAAATGTTGAGGAGTTTAGCGCAAAATGATTAACCTGGAGCAGTTCTGTAGTTTGAAATAGTTAGCAATAATTACCTAGGTCTGAAAAACTGTAGCTCAAATGCATTGTTTTCACTCCCACTAATGACAGTCTTTTTGTAATGCCGGGCGGTGCAACTTTGCTTACCTTTGATGGGTACGAGTTTATCCTGGAATCACAGTTACACTGATTCGACGCTCTCGAGGTGCTCAGCTGCGAGTGATAATTCTTTGAAAGATTGTTCCTTTTTACAGAAAAGTGTTCAAGGCCGTCTAGACGCTGAAAGATAAATGATTTCATTGTTTCCTTTATCGACAAAGGGTTTACGCGCAGTTATGCGTGTATGTCATAAAGCATTGATACCACAAAGGATTCCTTTATTAAGAGGATAATGGCACGAAACATCTTGCAATTCAGACTTTAGAACTCTTGAAACAGAAAAAATAGACCTGGTACAGTTAAAGAACAGTTATGCATGTATGTCAAACCATTGACACCACAAAGGATTCGTTTTTTGATATGAAGATGCATGTTGGCGTTTAGGGTGTGGTTGACTTATTTGTTGTAGACTAATGTGGTCAATGTACATGTTGGCCGTTAGTTCGATATAGTCTGTGCAGTTTGTGTTATTCTGGGTGTGAATTAGTTTGGTTGGTGTTATGTCGAGTAGTCTAGTGCAAATTGATTAAACTGAAGCAGTTTTGTAGCTTACCTTGGATGGGTGTGAGTTTATCCCGGAATCACAGTTACACTGATTCGACGTTCTCGAGGTGCTCAGCTGCGAGTGATGACTCCTTGAAAGATTCTTCTTTTTACAGAAATTTATTCAAGGCTGTCTAGGCGCTGAAAGATAAATGATCTCATTGTTTCCTTTATCGACAAAGGGAATTATGTGCAGTTATGCGTGCATGTCACAAACCATTGACACCACAAAGGATTCATTTATCAATAGGATGATGGCACGAAATTCAGACTTTAGAACTCTTGCAACAGAAAAAAAAAAAAACCTAAAACAGTTAAAGAACTTGAATGTGACTTTAGTTGCAGATGCTCAATTTTTCCACTTTCTCGTACTCCTTAAAAATTATGATGGACGGAGGCTAAAACAGAAAATAGAATTTCTTTGTAGACAGTTTTGCAGCCATTTAGCACACGTAGAATTAATATTAAATTTTTTAGCAAGAGTCTTCGCTTTTGTCTCACTTTTCAATTAAGTTCTTTGGCCTTCTTATATCAATAACAGATAAGTGTGCTGTGACTATCGAAGCGCGATTTCTGAAACTTTTCGTTATTTTACAACTCCCACTCATGAGTTCTTTGTGCAGAATTGTATTTCGTTTCCACGACTACATTACAAGGGAACACACACTGACTTTCGAAAACACATTATTTGAAGAAATGATATATTTTAGCGTATGTTATAAACAC